CTACCGTTTCATTAGCACCCGCAGTGTGTCTCAACTTTACTGCACAGGTTCGACCACCATACAAAGCTTCACGGGGTGAGAGAGGTTGAGGTGCTTTATACTGATTGAAAAAATCTTTTAGCCCCTGATGTGATTTTTTCATCTCTGTCCATGTGTGCTCTCTCATGACAATTGTGCATGGCCCGTAACTCACGTAATTTCTCCTCACACCTCACATGCAACTCCTCAAAAGGGCAGCCAGTCAAAGGATTGGTCTCATGAGCTTTGAATCAACTCGGACAGCCATGAAAAAAACATCCCAGAAACTCCCATACGTATTTCACACCTTGGATCTCTGCAAAACTATCTACAAAGTATTTTCCCAGTTGTTTTTCCCCCTCATTTAAAGCATGTTGAATGAAGATGTTTTCGGTGCTCGCCACCCATTGCAACCACTGAATGCCTGCGTTTGAATACGTTTTGAACTGGCGTGTGTAGTTATCGGGGTGGGGGTTGGCTAAAGATTTAGGAGGAAGGAAGTTGGTCACAAACACTTTCATGCATGCAGATGCTATAGTCGCACGGCTAAACGGGTCAACCGCTGTTTCATCAATATACTGTTTTCTGAACAGCTTGCACCCCTCTGCAAGAATCTCAACATCATTTTCACAATAGAGGCGGGCCTCTCTCATGAAATCAAATGTACCGCAGCGCGCCGTACCAGGAGTTAAAGTCTTTCAGTTGTACCGTCGTCATGCGTTCTGTACCGTACATTTTTGGCTCTGGGTAGGGGCCTATGTAGGTTAAATGGGCAGGTGAGCTAAAATTATGGGGAAAATAGCCTTTAATGTACATAACAAATAGCTGGAAGTGCAGCGGGAGATGTTTGGTGGTGCACCAAGGGAACTCAGCTAGGTGATACACTTTGGCCTGTAGGCACACAGCATGTAGCAATGTTATGGACAGGTTGCCTGCAATAGTACAGGTGTTTGAAGAGATCGCATCTGAGAACCATCCACAAAGAGCTGCATAGCAAGAGGGATATTGGCTCAAATTGTATTTTGCTGCCCTTTTGTAGTGAGATAACTGATCAAATTCAGTATATATACGTCTGCCATATGTTGCCACCCCTTAAAAATTACTGCCCCCCTTTCACCACCCCATAAATATTTTTCCTGATCCGCCCCTGCTCCCTAACTTTACTTACTTTGTAGATTACTTACAGTACGATAAGCATATAAACTATGATGTACTGCAATAGTTACCCAACAGTGTCATTTGCTCCACCTCAGCTATTAACAAACCTGCTTGCACATTAATGCATCAGTAAAATTAATCCAGTTACATTGTATTTAACAATATGACATTGACTGGCACTCCTCTGCTCCATATTGAGTACTTTTGATACATTTAGTATATTTTGAAATAATACATGTGTACTTACAAATGCAGGAGATTTTTTATGGTATTGTTTACACACATTTTCTGAAAGAATGCCTCATTCTCAGAACTCTACACACAAATCAAAAAACACACAATGGGCAAAACCCCTCAATTCTCCTGCAAAATGAAACTTCAAAACAATGTTATTTCTTCTCAAAATGTTTTTTTTTTCAAATGACACACAAACCATCATATGAATAGACATTCATAAGAACCAGTTGAACACTAATGTGCTCAATGTAAAACACTGATGAATGGAAAACACTTCTTCTCCATTCATCATAATGACTTAGGCCTTTTTTTTTGTTCAGTGTTACACTTACTACAGACAGTACATACATGTACCTCACAAAAAGAAAATGAACTGGTGCTCCACTGCAGCCACCTCTAGCTCAAGGACTCTCTGAAACACACATGACAATATCAGAAATAGACATGGAGTGGTCACTATTGTGAAGCACAATCATTATGATAACAATATTGAAATATGTATAATTTACTGTATACAGTGTTGAGAGTATGCATCAATTGTGGGACTCACTTGCACATAGTTATATCGCAATTCTTTGACTCTTTCTGAATTGCGTTCAAATGGCACCCTGTAGACCTGCTTCATCCTGAGATGATTTCTGCGCAAGACACGGTCCAGTGTTGATAAGCTTACCCCATCAATATTTTGAAATAGGTCATTGTTTTCTATTATTTTTCTTTGTATTTGCTTTAATGTTATGGCATTTTTTCTCTAGGACCATGTTTATGATTTCAGTTTCCTGTTCAGGAGACAGAAGACGTTCCCGACCACCTTGTGTTGGTAATCTTTCAGTTCTGCCAAACAAATAGGTAGGTATACATTTCCTAAATACTTGAAACATACTTTACAGTATTTTTACAGTCCTACAGAACAGTCCACAGGCAATACTGTACTACTGTACTCACTGAGTACTGTATTGATATGCAGTACTGCAATTTGCTAGTGAGAGTAGATTTCTTACACATTTTCATTTCAGAAAGTCCGGATGATGGATGCTACAGTGTACCTGCTCAGATTTGGCTGTACTCTTTGCCCAGCCTCCCTCATTGTTAGACCATGGTTGACCACATGATCAACCATGGTGGCTCGGATCTCATCAGAGATTACGGTCCTTGGCCGTCTTCTCACTCTCACTCTCACTCTCACTCTCACTCTCACTCTCACTCTCACTCTCACTCTCACTCTCACTCTCACTCTCACTCCTCTGGCTCTGCCTCTGTTTCCAATGTTGGCATCCATTGCTCCATTGAAGAGCTCACCTGTTGCCCTTTTATGCTAAAGCTCTGATTGCTAATTGGAAAACTGTGTGACGGGTGTTTGCCCTTGTGATGAGTCAGTGAGCATATTTGAATGGCAGTGTGTTCCTTGTGAAAACAAGATATTTTCTGCATGAAACTTGTGCCAAAAGCAGAGAATTGTGTGTAGTGTTTTGAAAAAAGTGTGTTTTAGAGCAATTTGAGTGTAAAGCAGGAATTGTGCTTGTAGTTGCAGTAGCAGAATTGGTTCATGGGGTTGGTGAATGAGTTACATGTTGTGGTCATTGTGTCTCAAGTACCAGAATTTGTGTGTAAACAATTGCGAAAAACTGTAAGTAAAGGATCTGAATACTTCTCCCACTGCAGAAAGCTACTGATCACATATATATACATATCATAATATACTCTATAAATCTGACTCTCCAGCTTCCTTGCTATCCTTCCTTGCTGTCACAGACTTCACTTCTCTCTGCCTGTTTGTTCCACCATGGTGATGATGCTAATATCGGGCATGCATTATTGATGAATTCAAGTTCAAATAATTTTTCAGTCCAACCCTGTCCATAAAGTCATATAAGTATACCTTTTGGCACTAGTGTCGTCAACTCTTGAAAGGAAAGAAGTTAATCTGGTCTGCTGGCGATTTATAGACAGTTAGCAATGGAGGTTTGCTACACTCATAATACCAACAGTTGGTATCAGAAGTGCTACTTTGTTGCTAAATATATAGAGGAGAGCGGGGTGATTTGAGCCTGTGTGGAAATTGAACTACCCTTTGTTTCTCGGCAACCACAGACAAAATTGGTCATGTGACAACACATTTTTGAAGAGTCATCCATTTTACTGACACTGTGACAAAGAGAGGCCCATGGAACAAGAATTGTTTTTTCAAGTTTTTTGCCTCATTCAACAATTACAGACAGGTTTGAGAAAATCTTACGCATATGTTAGTGCTTTAGGAAGTTACAATATGAGGCTATACTGTTGATGTGACCCTTAAACAGTTGGATGACACAGTTTTGTTAAAATGGCAGAAATGGGGTAATTTCAGCCAAATATTTGACTGTAATTTTACATTACATTCTTATGCATCACTGAAATTATGTGACATTATATATATATTTATATATTGGGACCTGGTATCTGAGTTTGCACTATGAAATTACATTGATGTCCCTAACACCCGTGTGGCTCAACCTATCCTCTCCCTTGGCTGAACTTACCCCTCATATGGGGCAAGATGAGCCAAGAGTCAACTTGTATTTGGAGAGACATAGTTTGAAAACAGTTTATTTTAGATCCAAATTGATAATTCCCAGGGATGCACCACATCCTCAAATACTTCACTTTAAAGACACCTCAAGTAAAAACTGGCTCAACTCACCCCACTCTATGTGAAAACAAAGTCACCATGCAGTGTGTCAAAACAAGACAGTACAGACAGCCCAGCTGTGCCAAAGTCATCATAGGCAAGTCAAGCCACTCGGCCTATGGAGGACTGATCCTGAGAGATCTTTTAATTAGCTTCTTTATTTATTCACCTTTATAATAATTACCTTATTTATTTATTGTCTGTTATCATCTTCCACTCTTTTTTTTATTAATTACTAAAATGTATTTATTTATGTGTGTGTTTTATTATTTTTGTCTGTTTTATTCTTCCTTTGCATTTCTACCCTATTTATTTCCCAAATGCAATGGTATTTATTTCTGCCTGTCCTTTTTACGTTTCTATATGCATTTCTGCCTCATTATGCAAATGAGGAGGGGCTGTATCTCAAAGGGGTCAACTTCCCCTATTGGTGGACCAGTCAAACGGACATCAACAAGCTTGCTCCTCACACAGTCAGATGGCTTCCTTCAGTGAACTGAGATATTTAGCAACTCTCTTTTTATATTAGCATTTAATAGGATGCTTGTTTATTTTTTGAGCATTTATTTATTTATGTGTTTATTTCTTAATCTGTCAGGATCAATCCTCCATACTCGGCAGCCATGTTGGCAACGCCTCCGGGCAGCTATTTCGGACTAACAAGACCAAGCTCCTATCTGAATGAATGGGCAGAGAGCCAGAACTGCACTTCTACTGGTCAACGGGACATAAAAACTACATGAATAGAATCAGCAGTAAAATCTAATAAAAATCACTGACAAAGTTTGGCAACTTTGCCCGAAAAAATTAAGGTCTGTTCTGTTCTTGACTGGTTATACTAGTACTAGTATTTTTATAGCTTTTTTTTCATCAACACTCTATTGAATAGTGTTGATGTGCAGTAAGTCACGTGCACATGTCCATCAATGATTTAAGTTTTATTTTCCTGCAAACATGTTTCAAAACATGATCCTTCAGACAAGTGATACGCAATTATGTGAAATCACCCACACTAATTTCAATAAATTCAATCTTGAGAATTCCTCTCTAAATTGGATTGTGTTTCTAAGAAACATCTACAAAGGAAATATGCTAAAGAAGACTTGTGATATATCATGGGACAATAAACAAGGGAGTCAATCAATTCTCATAATAATAATACAGTTATCGCCATGATGAAAAGCAGGGAGCTCTATACACTCTCTGTGTGCTGAGGTAGATTATCTTGAAGATCATTCTGAGCTCCTGGGTGGATTTCAAGGACCTCTGCATCTCCAATCCTCTCTGCAGAAGAATACTCAAGTCAGAGCCATTCAACTGTACTGCACATTCCCATAGTTCCATCTGTTCTATTCAGAAATAAAAAGTGTTATGCAACAAGATTACAAAAGTGTTTACTCTGAATGTTCTGGTTCCCGCTGTTTTTACCTTGTTGTGAAAATAGCTGCTTGATCAACATATAGACAATTTGAGGATAGATAAACCCTTTCCTGGTGTATGGCTTACTTCTACAACAGATGTAACATTTCATCTATTTAAAAAGGTACACTTTTACCCAAGAATAAAAAAGAAAACTACAGTAATACATTGAAAGGACCACAGGATTAAACAACTTCCCGTTTAATAACGTCCCGTTGCCCTGACCTCTGTGGTAATGAAGTTCTTTGAACGCCTTTTGTTGTCCCACCTTAAATTCATCACAGACCCACTCCTGGACCCCCTGCAGTTTGCCTACAAAGCCAACATGTCGGTAGATGATGCAGTAAACAAGGTCCTTATCTACATCCTCCAGCACCTGGACTCCCCAGGAACCTACGCCAGTATCCTGTTTGTGGATTTCAGCTCTGCCCGGCCCTGCTACAAGACAAGCTCTCCCAGCTGAATGTGCCTGACCCCACCTGCACGTGGATCACTGACTTCCTGGCGAACAGAAAGCAGCACTTGAAGCTGGGAAAACATCTCTGATTCCAGGACCATCAGCACAGGTTCCCCTCAAGGCTGCGTTCTTTCCCCTCTTCTCTTCTCCCTTTATACCAACAGCTGCACCTCCAGTTCAGCCTGCCAAAGACATGGATGGATGGTGCACTTCTACACCGCCATCATTAAGTCCATCTTCACTTCCTCCATCACCATCTGGTACGCTGCTGCCACCGCCAGGGACAATGGCAGGCTGCAGTGTATCATTCGCTCTTTAGAAGTCCCTTTAGAAGGTGATTGGCTGCAATCTTTCATCACTTCAGGACCTGTACGCCTCCAGGACTCTGAGGCGAGCAGGCAAGATTGCAGCTGATCCCTCTCAACCTGGGCACAAACTGTTTCAGACTCTCCCCTATGGCAAGAGGCTGCGGTTCATCAGGACCAAAACCTGTCTCCACAAAAACAGCTTCTTCTCGTCTGCAGCTAGCCAGCTAGACACTCCCCCCTTGCAAATAATACAAATGTCTCTGCACATGTAAGTATTATTTCATTTCATATCATGCATAAACCTGGCACATTGCACATATTTGTTGTTAATTGTTAATCTTTGTTGTTGTATATTGTCAATTTATATATTTATGTACACATACTCTCTTCCTTTGCAATACGTCTGCACAACACAAACCCAGAATAATGCACATGTAAATATTTGCAATGTTGTTCTTTCTCTGCAAATAGTTGTATTATTTTTCTGTATTTTTTTTATTATTATTATATAACTTGCATTGTCTATTCCATATTTATATATTTCTACATTTCTTTATGCCAGCTGTATGTTCCTCATGTCCCTCATCACCAAAGCAAATTCCTCGTATGTGTGAAACACTTTTTGGCAATAAAGCTTCTTCTGATTCTGATTCTGAAAGACTTCAAAATCACTGCTTTGACTGCAATTGATTACACCAAAAGAACAAGCATTTCGTGCAAAGTTGAATTTGTATGCCAATAGATTAGTAAAAAACACAATATTTTTATAATCACTTTATCTTCTCTAGAGTATTTGTTTTAATAGCATATTAGTCTACAAGCATTTATGAAAGAGAACAATTCAAAGACATCCAGTCACCCACTCACCCACTCTGGAGGAGGAGGAAAAAAGCACATTTTAAAAAAGAACATTTCTAAAGAGGAGATGGCAGATTTCAGGTTTTAATGACTTCCAGGACCTCCTCCTGTGCCATCAAAAAAAGTGTCTGCCACTGCCAAATGAAAAGAGTTTTGGTTGATGTATACTGTATCCAGTCAGTGATTTATCCACTTTTAACAGGTGGCATGGCTCAATGGGAGCACCCCACGATTACAAGTGAAATGCGAAGACTGTCGGATGACACAAATTAGTTACCTGGTTTGTCGCCGCTGAAAGCTCGGTTTACTCCGTATGAGCTGTGGAGGAAAATAAACAATGTTAGACACATTGAGCTTGAACCGTTTATGAACAAAAGAACTAGATAAAACGTAGAGAGACCTCCCCAACCTCATTCTCTGTGGTTTTCTCCATGACTGGTCAAATGATGGACCATATACCGGTGGAGATGTACCAGGATGAAAAGCTTGGAGCTCCTGGAGGTTCTGCTGATGATGGCCTGAGAGGTAGACCCCATCCAGTGCTTGTTTGATCATTCCCATCACCAGGTCTTTCTCTGAGAGTACACCACAACACATAATACCAGGAAAATAGTTAAGTGATTATTTTCAGTAGCAGTGCAGTGTGCCATCAATTCTACAATTTATAAAGTTAAATAAACCTATAAGAAAATGGAAATTGTAAACACTAAAGCAGCAGACGAATGGCTTGTGTAATTGGATATGACAGGAAGACTTAAAAACCTTTCAGAAAGTATTTAGAAAACCAATTCAAAATTAATTAATTAATTCATCATTTAAAAAGTAAAAAATTAAATCGAATTAATAAATGGAAAAGATAATGATACATTTCTGTAAATGTAAATGTTTTTTTTAAAGGCATCACTTAATAATGAGTTAATAAAGTTTAGAATCATCATATCAATCATCAAAGAACCTGCCAGTCTTCTGTTAACAACAATGCAACATCAGCAACATCAGTGTTATAAGTATATAGGATACAAATTTGAAAATCTGCTGTCATTATGCACAAAGTAACTATCAAAGTAAAGTCACTGTCGAAGTGAAATTAAGATGGATTTTACCTCTTTGACCTGCAAGCAGAAGCCACTGCTGGACGGTGGACAGGGAATCTGTCTGTAAGATCTGACAAAGTAGCTCCAACACCTGACAAGAAAGGGACATTAAAACCTATGTCTATGTTGTTAGTGAAATTCTCAAGGTGCCTGGTGACAGCTGGGCCGGGGGGTATTTTCCAACAACAAAGCAAATGCAGTGTAACCTTGGGCAAAAGCTTCTCTTGTGATTTTCTATGATGTTGGAAAGCTCATTTTGATCTGTCACTAATCCTTTTTCTCTAGAATGAATTACATGGTTGTGCCCCAAACAACGCCAAATGACACATTTTCTAACTGCGAAAGGGCTAAATATAAGTGCAGGAATATTTCACCATAAGTTCTTGATCATGGAAGGGCTGGGGATACGCCTGGCGCTGGGAATGGGATCTGCGTTGGTAAGACTTAGTGGCTGGAGGGATAATCCTCCCAGTTTCAGCTGAATATTGGGTCTTTCGGCGGACAAATTCTTCCTCAGGGTTGTCCTGGAACACATCGACAAAATCATGCTCTTCAGTACAAAAACATCACTTAATAATATGTCCCAGTATCTCCTTTTTTAATTAGTTACTAAGAGTCTTCTAAGGCCATGCTAGTAGCACTGTGAGGCAGGCTGTATTTAAGCACAGTGGTGCTTTGAGATAAATGCCAGTCAGCATTCTAACATGCTCATAGTGACAATGCCAACATGCTGATTTTTAGAAGCTACTGTTTACCATTTCAATCATTATATTTTGGCGTGTTAGCAGGCTAACATTTGCTAATTAGCGCTGAACACAAAGTACAGCCTTTGTCAATAAAGATCAAATCACTCTCACAAAATTATTCCCATAAACTCTACCTCACAGCACCCCATACACCCCATACAAAATACCACTGCTTCCTACCTCCCTCTCCCATCCTCTCTGAATCTCAGTCAATTGTCCCATCCGGCTTCCTTACAATCAAGATAGCAGCGAAAATGTATTCATCTGGTATCGTGTCTAACTTTAGCGGATCATAATATATTGGGTATTGGTAGTTTGTATTTATGAAGAATTCACAAATTGTTGAATTGTTAATATCAGAAATATACTGACATACATTTGTTACAGTACATTTGTTTCAGTAGATGGAGATAAACACTGGGGAATAATAATGAGAAATGATAATGATGTGTTGTAATTTAATTGTGAGCAGTGATGTAAAACTTTTGGTCAGACAGTTTCATCAATATCTTGGGGTAAAAACTAGCAATGAGTGCTTAGCTCGATCTATTGGCAAGTCGTTTCCCATCAAGCATTTGGCTTCTCCATCTTGTGAACATGGATGTATAATAAGACCTGGATAGGGTGCTGCCACTCAGCCTTGTATCAAATTTTTTCCAGTGGCCACTTGCGGCATTGAAACAAAGAATTCCCTCTGTGGCCTAAAAAGCATTTACACTTGACAGGGTCAGTGATGAGTCTTTGATCCATGGAGGTTATATTTGTAAAACTTTCCTTGAGCCAAATAAAGCAATGTAAATATTTGTGACATTATCACAATGAAGAGACTAAAGCATTCAAACGGTTGTGCATGTTCTGGGTTTGTACACAACCTGGGAAGACGTGCTACCTCCGAAACTCAATCAGGGGCAAAAGAGAAGTCTATTTATCCCTTGAAATAGCAAATAAGTCATAATTTACCTGAAGACGATGAATGCCTTGAAAGTGTGACGTTAGTTATTGTTTTACATTACTATTCTTTCAATTTGTCATTGTTAGGCACCAGTATGTAATATATTCTGTTTATTGATTGAAATTTGTATGCAAAAAAAGTGTTGTGAAGGATGAATTTCACAGTTCCATTAGCATATCAATACACGTACCTCTTTTTTGTCCTTTTGTTCTTGAGACGACACACTGACTTTTGTAACAAGTTCTTTGAGTTCATCTCTCCAGGCTTCCGAAAATAGTGCTGTGACATAATGAGGAAAAATTACTCCTGTTATTCTGAAGCTCGATAGTATTCTTTGAAGGCAGAGATTTAAAAAACAGTTATGAGAAAATGTATGTGCCATGTGTGAGTGAGTGTACCTGATTTATTTTTGTTGCTACTGGCTCCATAAAGATTCTGAGCAAGTGGAAAAGCAAAAGAAGGATATGTTGCTTTCCTGAGAACGTGGCTCTTGAGAAGTGGATGAGGAAATAATGATGAGGTGACAAACCAGTCATCTCTCACCATGCAAACGGGCCTCCCATTGAGTCCTGTTGTAAAGAGAAAGGCATTCACAGTAGACACATACACACACACACGAACAAACACTGTAAAGTGCTTCAGAAGGGATACCCTGAAGAAATAAAGTCAGTATAACTCCTGCTGGGACTAAAGGTGACAACTTCTTGAGAACCTCAGAGATGAAACTTACTTATCTGCATATAATGCTGTCATCTCTTTCATGTACCACATTGCTATTACTCCTGGACCTTAGCGCTGCTTTTGACAATTGATCACAACATCATGTTAGACAGACTGAGGCACTGGGTGGGGATCTCTGGTACTGCCCTAGAATGGTTTTCATCCTACCTGTCAAATAGGAAGTTTTGCGTGTCTGTAAACAACTATGTCTCCTCGTTCTGTCCAGTTAAATATGGTGTGCCTCAGGGGTCGGTCTTAGGACCCATTTTGTTTTCCTTGTATCTGCTTCCCCTTGGACATATTATCCATAAACATGGCATTTCTTTTCATATTTATGCTGATGACGCACAAATATACTTGCCCGTCAGATCCACAGACCCTGGAATGCTGAGTTCACTTAACAACTGCCTTTGTGAAGTTAAAAAATGGATGTCAAGTAATTTCCTCCAGCTGAACTCCGACAAAACTGAAATCCTGGTCATCGAGTCCCAGCAGATGGCAAATCAAATACTGCCATTTGCTGGTTCCCTAGTAAATCACATTAAGCCTGTGGCAAAGAACCTTGGTGTTTGGTTTGATAGTAATTTAAATTTCGAGCAGCACACCACAAAGCTTGTTCAATCATGTTTTTATCAACTTAGAAATATAGCAAAAATTCGATCTATGTTAACTTTTAAGGACACTGAGACTATTTTACACGCCTTCATCTCATCACGCCAGGATTATTGCAACAGCCTTTTCACCTGTTTAACCCAAAAATCTATTGATCGACTCCAGACTGTCCAGAACTCAGCTGCCAGGCTTTTAACCAGAACAAAGAAATATGACCACATTACTCCTATTTTAGCTTCATTACACTGGCTCCCAGTATGTTTTAGAATTGACTTTAAAATTCTATTGATTACTTTTAAAGCTCTTCATGGCCTCTCGCCTTGTTATATTTCTGAACTTTTAGTCCCATACACACCAGCACGTACCTTGAGATCCTCGGGCAGAGGTCTGTTGTCTGTTCCAGAGTCTCGACTGAAAACTAAAGGGGAGAGAGCGTTTGCTGTCAGGGCCCCGAGGCTCTGGAACAGCCTGCACGAGGAAATCAGGTCGGCCGAGTCAGTGAACTCCTTTAAGTCCCTTCTTAAAACATACTTTTATAGGAGAGCCTTTCCCGATCTTATTTGACTTTATTTTATCCCTTTATTTTATTGTATTTTACAAATTTTATATTTATCTTAAACGTGTATTTTAGTCTTTTCAATGTTTTCATGCTTTTATCTTGTATTGTTTTTGTATTATTGTCTCTTGGGTATTATTGTTTTTAAACTTGTTAAAGCACTTTGTAACTTGTTTTTGAAAAGTGCTCTACAAATAAAGATTATTATTATTATTATTATTATTATTATTATTATTATTATTATTATTACTACATGCACCCATAGAGCTACTCACTCTAATATTTCATATACAGTGTAGGTAACTTTTAATTATAACACAACTCAGGAAGGGATGCTTCTGTGTTACAGTTTTTCTCCATTGCTTAAACACTATAATCAGGCTAATGAACTAAAATTTCAAAACCATTTCTCCATTTTTCAAAAAGCACACCCATTTCTCTAAACTCTACACACAACTCCCTTCATTTCTCATTGCCTACACAATGTGGTCTTTGAGAAAACACTAACATTCAATATTGTCCACTCAGTCAACACAGGTTGAGCTCAATTAGCACACAGCTACCCAGGTAGAAACACAAACAGTCAGAATTGATAACACACCAATCAGAAGCTTCAATAGATAGATAGATAGATAAAAGGGCCACAGTCAGTTTATTCAGTTTTGAAGAGTGGATCCAGAGAAATCTGAAGGAAGAGATAGAGGACACCAGAGAGGAGAAGGAGGAAGAGGAGGAGGAGGAGGAAGAGCAGTAAGGAGAGGAGGAAGAGGTGAAGGAAGGGGAACAGTAGGAGTTGGAGGAGGAGATGGGATAGGAGGAAGATGAGGAGTAGGAGGAGGTGGAGGGAGGAGGAGTAGGGAGAGTAGGAGGTGAAGAACAACAATCTCTGGCCTGTCCCAGACCAAAGATGGGATGATATGTAAGAATAATTAGTTGTTTTGTGTTGTACTGTACAGTGCATTAAGGACTAAATAATGTGCAAAATTACATTTTTTATTTCTTTTGTTGTGTTCATCATGTCAAAATGTTATGGGGAGAATGGGAATAGTTTTTGTAGTACTGTTTTGAATTTATCTCACCATAAGGCTGCGTTGCAGTGTGTGTTTTTGAGGGCTTGTGTGTTATGTTTGAGGGCAAAGTTTGTTTTTTCAGCAAGATTGAATAGTTTTGAGTGGATTTGTATAGACATTCATGGACGCCAGCCGATGCATTTCAACTTTGGTGATCCCTGACTTTTCCTCTGACAATTGACAATTGTTTAATGTACTGGCATGAAATTTGGTTCCCAGGACCTTTTTGAAAGCCATTCATGGATCCCAGATGATGTATCCTGACAAATGGTGATCCCATGACTTTTCCACTAGCAGGCTGGCATTTTTGATTGGCATTGAAATATCTCCACAACTATTGAATTGTGGTGATGGCGTAATTTGATAAACACGAATTGCTCAATTAAATAGTCCAAGGAGACCAAACTGAAAGCTCTCACAGTTAAACACAGCTCCACTAAAATGTTATCAATCTTGCATATAATTATTTGAAAACAATATTGAGAACCTACATGGGAATCACTGTAATTTGCTGACTTTATTTTTCAGGGTACTCCTTATTTACCAGAGCCAAATACTCAGGGAAATCATGAAGGTTCAAAACACTTACTTCCATCTGTACTGCATAGATGAAGATGAAAAAACATTCATTTATTATAATTTAGGGAGGTATACTGTCAAATCATCTTCTTGTATACAATTTAAATTTTATAAAGCAAATTGATTTCTTCTGCTTCCCAGAAGACTACGTCTGCCTGCTCACCTTGAATATGCCGCACCCTGTGTGGATGAGGGTTGTGTCGGGAGAAGAATGAGTGATGACTCAAGGCACCAAAGCGCGGACTGCTTGTCGTCACCATCTTAGTAAATTCAGTGGTGAATGGCACCAGATTAGTTTGACTGCGGCTCTTTTCTCCCGTTGTCCCCGGGGAGTCTGGATCCTGTGCTATTGACATATCTTGGTATGACAGCTGGAGTTTTTTAAATCAGGACTAAGAGAAAAAAGTCAAGTAAAGTCTTAATGAAAAGTCATGTGATAGAAATGGCAAAACATTAACATTCTAGGTATTTGTGATTGCAAATTTCTGACCACACATGCTAAAACTAAGCATTTTAAAACTAAAACATCACAAGGAGCAAGACAGAAACTACTCACACTTGATTTACATCAAGAGTCCAAAGATAACTTTGCATTCCAAATGTGACCGATTAATTTATGTTTTGTGTTCTACCAGGAAGATTTTGAAAAAAATAACTTTGAAGAACCACTTTACCTCTGAAAACAGCCTCCAGCTGAAAACCTTTGGTACACAATGCTCTGTGTTGCTCATGTTGCTAAGCAACCTGAACTAAACAAGACACAATGGCATCTGTGCCCAATGAGTGTCTGGCATTCTCAACCAGTTCATTTAGACAGGATTTTCATATGCAAAGCAGAAAGTATTTAATGATGTTTAATTAACAAACTTTATCAGGTGAAGACTGCAGCTGTTATCTCAATGTTGAGAAGTTTGAAATTAAGTTTATGGAATTTAGAAAAAAGTCAACATTTGTTATTGAGACATCTTCTATCTCATTACAATATGTTTAAGTAGACCAGTTTGCTGCAGCATCTAGTGTGGCACATGGGTGTGAATACTGATATAAATGTGCTCTGAATTTGATGATTAATCCTTTAATGATCCTGCTGTCTATGGCTTGTGTCATTAATATTATCAGTTGAAAGTCTCATACTTGTCAGTCTAGAAGTTTTATTATTTACTTTTTGGGGGAAACACCAATATGCACACATTACATTCAATTATTTACAATTACAGTATTATATGCAGTACTGTGCAAAAGTTTTAGGTGTGGAAAAAATGCTTATGATGAAGATAGTTCTTAATGACTTTCACTGTATGTATGAGGTTGTTGTCATGTTGCGGAATATATTTTGGGCCAATCAGATGCCTCCCTGATGGTAATTGCATGATGAATAAGTTTCTGCCTGTACTTCTCAGCATTGAGGAGACCATTAATTCTGACCAAATCCCCAACTCCATTTGCAGAAATGCAAAGCCCCAAACTTGCAAGAAACCTCCACTATGCGTCACTGTGGCCTGCAGATACTCAGTCTTACACCATTCTCCAGCCCTTCTACAAACAAACTGCCTTCTGCTGCAGCCAATAATTAAAAATTTTGACACATCAATACAGAGCACCTGCTGCCATTTTCTGCTCCTATATGCTATGTGTTCATCTGCTGCAGTAAGTTTCCTTGGCCGACCACAGCATCTACTGTCCTCAATGTTGCATGTTTCTTAGTGCTTCTTCAAAAGAGCTTGGACAGTACATCTGGAAAAGCCAGTCTGCTTTGAAATGTCTGCCTGGTAGAGACCTTGCTGATGCAGTATAACTACCTTGTGTCTTGTTGTTGTATTCAGTCTTTCCATGGTGTATGACTTTTGACAGTAAACCGTCTTCAGCAACCTCAACTTGTTAGTTTGGCTATTCCTCATCCAGCTGTATCCTTGTATCACCATTTACACATGTTTGGTATAAATATTTAATCATACACCTGACAATATGCCTACAAAAATCCCTGACTTTGTGCACATGTACCTAAAAGAATGGATGCTATTTTGAATGCAAACGTTGGCTACTGATACTGTTTTGAAATGTGCTACCAGAGATAGGCAACATTGATGGCATTCACAGTATCAACACTATTGTTTTCTATGGCCAACTAAAATATCTTACCCTTTCCTTTACCTCAAGTAAACGTAGCTTAAGTTCAGCCAGTGACTTTCATTAACAACAACTTACAATTTCACTCTGTATCACTAACTATGTTGAATCAATCTTTCTTCACCATGTCTGTGTTTTTCTGTGTGTGTGTGCGCGCGCGTGTGTGTGTTTTAATGTTTCTCGGCACCTGGGCGGAGCAGCAACGAAAGGCAGCCTCCCTCAGGGTCCTAGTGCCCGACCACAGCAGGGATTTAAATTATGAAGCAGAGGAAAAAACCAGAAGGATTATTTTAAGCCAATAAAGACAAATTATATCTGTATATTTATATAGTATTTATCAATATTCTTGCTTCTCTTTGTTGAGTACAGGTCTGCACTGAAAAATTTTTTTGGGTGAGGGGGGTGGTTAGGACCATGTTAGGGTGGCTTCAGCCCCCCTGACATGACATGACATGACATGACATGACTTTTGTGGTGAATTGGCGCAATAGAAATAAAACTGAAGCTGAATACATTTGAAGCAACACAGCTTGATTTAACATTTACCTGGGCAGGTTGTACTTACTTACCTGTAATATTTACAATTACAGCAAGAAAGACTCACCTGAACTGTTGTTTTTGCCTTCTTTGGGGGTGTCCAAGTCTTAATTAGGAGAGACCCCCGTAATTCAAAACACTGACATATCACTGTCACAGTAGAATGTTTCCACTATCGTCCCTATACTTAAAGTCTACAGTGCCTAGTGTAAATGACGAAGATTAAGGTTTCCTGTAATGCTTTGTCTTTATTTCATGTTTCCTGTTTAACCGGAAGTTTATTTTGAAAGGACACTATACACATGTAAGAAATGGAAATTAACAAGAGAACGAGGACAATCTTGCAGAGCGGTGCACAGAGAAAAACCTACTGCTCAATATCAGCAAAACCAGTGGTGATTTCAGGAAAAAGGAGGTGAAGATACACACCCATGTCTACATTAGTGAAGCTGAGGTGGAATTTCTTTGCCATCTTCTTTTTAGATGTTAGAGAGCAGCTACAGAAAGCATCCTGAATGGAAACATCACAACCTGGCATGGGATGTGCACAGTCCACTACAGGAGGGCTCTGCAGTTGGTGATTAAAATCAATAAGTATAAATTTTTGGAAAATTGAAATTGAATGGAAAAACACCTTTAGTGATTTTAAACTAAAATAGCTGATTTACAGAATGTGCAAACCTTTTTTCCCCCAGACCTGGTACATAGCCAGAAGGGATTAAATCTATATTCCAGCAAAATCAATGTGGTTGCCATGAGCAATTATCCTTTGCAACAGCCCAAGCACTTATTTACATTTGGACTGAGCAGTATAGGCTCTTATAAAAATCCATTCAGTGGGGCTTAAGGGGGACGGTGCATTTTCCTAATTTTCCTTATCTTATCACTGTTTTTTGTTCCCTGTCTTGTTTGAATCTAAAACCACAAAACTTAAAGCATAACTTAAAGATTGTTTATCATCTTTCAGTCAGAGGCAGACTACTTGTTCAGACTTAATAATACATATTTTTCTTTCTTCCTTTTTTTCAAATTGAAATTGAAGGTTGCTGTAGTGTGATAAGGGGAGCTGTTAAGTCTTCTTGGCTTCTGCTGAATAATGTGTCTTGGTAGAATTTTGTCTTGCTCTAGTGTGCGTTGGTGTGTGTGTTAAGCTATAGGTCTTTGTCTGTCTGTGTGTCTCCAGATGCTACATTTACTGTTTTGGATCCATTCCAAAACCAGCAGGTTTATTTTATGTAACAAAGAACTTCATTTCCTTCAGACACATTTAAACAGATGCTCTGAAAAGTAGAATAATTTAAATATATGGAATAGTAGGGAGGTTTGTATTTCATTGTGTAATCTGTTATTGTATATGATAAAAGCTGAACTTTCAGCCTTGATGTGAGGATGTAATTGTATTATTTTATAAGACACACATAATGCCCTTGGAATTATTTGGTTCTATCTGTGATCTGAGTGGTTTTGCAATTCAAAGCTCACATCCCATATAGCAAAACTGATATTTTATTGGTCAAAATAGCAGGCACCCTCCATGTATTTTTAATATATTACAAATGTATTACATATTTAAATGTTTTAGATCAGCTGGATTCTGAGAACTTATTTTTCGTTTGGAAGTATAAAGTTCAAACTGCCATGAGCAATAATTTTAAAAGTTGACAGTTTAGTCTTACTTTGTTTAATTACACAGAAACATTAGTATGATCATAGATTTACACTGACAGATTTGAACCAGTAAAACAGTTAATACAGTTTTACACACCAGTCAGAAGCTTCAATAGATAGATGAAAGGGCCACAGTCAGTTCATCCTGTTTTGGAACAATGGATCCAGAGAAATCTGAAGGAAGAGATAGAGGACACCAGAGAGGAGGAGGAGGAGGAAGAGCAGTACGGAGAGGACGAAGAGGTAAAGGAAGAGGAACAGTAGAAGTTGGAGGAGTAGATGGGATAGGAGGAAGGTGGAAGGTGAGGAGTAGGAAGAGGCAGAGTAGGAGGAGTGTCACGCTCTGCCGGTTGGCCATCCTTTGTGTTGCACTTTTGAGTTTAGTATCTGCCTTAGTATGTTGAGTTTTGGGTTCTGTCCTGTCTAGTGTCCAGTATCTGCTATATAGTCTGTTGTGTTTTGAGTTCCTCTGAGTTATTGAGTGGTCAGTTCATTATCTGTTATTTAGTTGGTCTTTGATTCCATGTCATGTTCTTAGTCTTGTACTTTAGTTCATGTCATTAGTGTTTAATCCGGGTCTTGTGTTCTCTGTTAAGCTCTGTACTGTGTTATAGTTCTGTGTTCTGATATTTTGTAACATATGTGCGTTTCTGTGTTGTCGCATTAGTCTCATGTCTGTCACCTGTGTTGCTCCCGCCCTGCTCGTTAGTCCCTGTGTATATATACCTGGTGTTTCTGTCTTGTCTTTGTCTGGTCAATGTTCATGTTAGCCCCCAGTCTGTCGTGCGTGAACTCTCTGCCTGCCTGTAACCAGTCTTGCTTGTCTTGTCTCCCTGTACCTTTGGATTTCTGTTAGGATCACCTTGTTTTTTGGACTCTGTTAACCACCCACTCTGTCCGTAAGTGTGCTCGCCTTTAGTTTGTTTTCCCTCAGTAAACCCCTGTTGAACTATACCTGCTCCGCTCTATGTCCTGCGTTTGGGTCCTCCAACCTGCCTCCACACCACTAATCATGACAATGAGGGCGGAGGAGGAGGTGGAGAACAAGAATCTCTGGCCTGACCAAAGACAGGACGCTGGGCAGAATGATTTGTTGTTTGGTGTCTTGTACTTTACTGTACTGTACAGCACACTAAGGAATAAAAAATGTGTTTCTGTTCATGTGAAAAGGTTTTTGAGGAGGAGAACCACAAGCAACATTACTAATAACCAGTTTTTGTAGTATTGTTTTGAATTTATCTCACCAGTGTGTAAGACTGTGTTGTAGTGTGTGTTTTGGGGGGCTTATGTGTTATGTCTGAAGGCAAAGTATGGTTTTTCAGCAAGATTGAATGGTTTTGAGAGGAAAGCTTCATTTTGACCTGAAAATAGGATGTTTGGGGAATTGGGTAAGAAGTTGTGGATT